CTGTGATGTGCTGTCTGGCAGGAGGTTAATGCTCTGATTTTTAGCCAAGTCTTTTGGCATAGGTTCCAAGACAGACTCTTTAATATGGGGGCCAGGACCAAGTTGACCAACGGCCAAGGGCTTTGGTTTCAGAAACATGTTTATACCAACTTGCCTTTAGTATGAAGAAAATCTACAGGGTTTGGGTGGGAGTGAGGCCCCTGAGCCCAGGGGCATCTGTATTGGGCTTACCTACTATTAGCCTCGTAAGAACTAGATTCACCAAGTCCTGTGTTCTTTCTGCTCCTGGGACTTGGGGAGGAGTGGGCCGGATGGAGTAAAGGCTTCCTTTGCAGCTCTGACCCACAGGCCTCATGGGACAGCCCCAGTTCCACAGTCTACCTGACTTTCACTGCTCCTTTCAGCAGAATCTTTCAACGTCATTCAGTTGTGGTGACAGTAACAATGACCTGAACACAGTGGGGATGGTCCTGATGCCAAATACTCTTATGCTCTGCTGGGAACTGGGCTTGGGTATCTAACAGAACTTTCTGTAATGATGAAGACAGTCTCTAGTTATGTTGTCCAATACAGTAGCTTCTAGCCACCTAGAGATATGAGTACTTGAAATGTGGCCAGTGAGACCGAGAAACAAAATCTTAATTAAAGGAATTAATTTAAATGGCCTCACCAGTCTAGTAAGGGTCTGTTGTCTTGAACAGCGACAGCTCTACAGACATTATGGTCACTGGGACCTCATCACAAACCTATGAAGTATTAGTGTCCTCATTTTATATAAAAGAAAACCGAGGCTTAATGAAGGAGCTAAGTCACTTGTAGAAGTGACTCAGGTCTGTTTGACCTTCAAAGCTGCATCTTTAACGGCTGTGGTAGCTGCCTGGTGGTAGCAGACCCTCAGATCTGCTTCTGGTGGGTTAGAGAGAGGATGAGGACACACACTTTCTCCAGACATGGGGATGATAGTGATGTCATAACTCCCTAACCCCTGGCCCCCTACAACCTGCTGCTTGTTGAGGTGACAGTTGATCTACATAAAGTGGCTCAAGCACCCACAAGAAAACCTTTCAACCCTGATCTCTTGGGAGGTGTGTTCCTGATCACACAGGGCGGTCACCTCTCTCTGGGTGTTTGACTCTGTTCGGATGCCACGAGAACACACTGTGGCCAGGGCCATGTGGAATGTTTTCCTTGGCAGACAGTTCTTTGTTTTCACACTTTGCTGTGGGAAAGCATTAAGCCAGGGAGTTCAGTCACGGTGGAGCATTTTGAACAGGTGAGAAACTTCAAACTATCAAAACTTCAAACTAGCTGCCACTGGCTGCCGACACTGGAACCCTTAAAACTTGTCACCAGGGTGGCTTCCTTCAACTGTTTTCCTTTGTTTGAAGGCTTCTGCAGGCAGCGTGGAATCCGCCTCAGGGAAAATACAGTGTGCCAGTCCTCAGCTTGCATTTCTATGGCTTTACTATCTTGGGAAATTCTTTTCCCATTTGTTCTCTGATGTAGTTGGGTACCAGCAGGGTTTTATTAAAGGGAGACATAAAATACAATCTAGGGTTCATCTGAAGCGCAAATGCTTAAGGACAATTTTCACTACCTTTGGCTATCTGACTAGTCATTTGTTTCAGCTTTTTTTTCTTGACCTCCTATTTTAGTGTGAGGTGTCATTTGAGGTTCTCTGGAAACCTAAAGACTATTGTTCTTCAGGATGACAGTAGTTTAGAAAGAACTCCCTCTTTTGAGACTATCATCTTGGGCTACTGTGGGTTTTCTTTCTAGGGCCATGAACGACAAGGACTTCCTGTAAGGTATGTCAGTTTTACTGACCAGGATGTGTGTGCTGGTTCCCCAGAGATGGGGCGGGTCTGAAGATCAGGGATGGGATGTCCTGCTTTCTCTGTAGAGACTGAGTTTCTGGTCTAGTGGGAATTAATTAATTAGAATGTTCTTCTAGGTACTGCACATATAATAGGTGTGAGATGTGGTCCTGTCCTGTGAGCTTATAAGCAAGCTCGTGTCGTGTCAAAATGGAGACTGGAGAACCAGAGAAGCTGTGTTTGTGAGAAGCTGGGCCTCTTTGCATGGAGATGTGAAACCTGACTTCCAAAACAGACAGCTAATTAAAACCACCACAGAACAATGCAGATTGCCATTTACTGCCACATAAAACACGTCGGTGGGCTGAATGCCCCATGATCTGGGGGGAAACTGAGGCAAAGAGGTGGTCGTTGCTTGCAGGGCTGTGCCTCCCCACAGGAAATCACCTTTCCCAATCTGTGAAACTGTCTTGGCTCTTTCCACGGACCCCACACTGGGCCCACAGGAAGGACTCCTTAAAAGTCTGTGGTCAGAGCAACCAGCCTGAAAACGACCCTGACCTTTCTTTGGCAGAAAGTTTACCTGCAGGAGGAAGGTGCCAACACCTTTCCTGGAAAACAAAGAGCTTAGTAATTTCGGGTGAACTTTGTGAGGCTGAGGCCAGTGCGCCCTCTGAGGCAGTGGCTGAAAACATGGGTTTGGGGGCTGGATTATCTGACTGAATCCCAGCTCTGCTGCTTACTTGCTCTGGGATTCTGGGCAAGTTGCTTAATTTCCCTGAGCTGTCTCAGTTTTCTCATTTATACAATAAGGCAAGAATCCCTACTTGAGAGGGGAGCCGTGAGGTTTCCATGAGCCACTGTATGTGGCGCCACGCCTGGCTCTAGCTACTGCTTATATTGAGAAATTACTGTATAGTGGTATTTATAACGAGAATGGAGGAGAGACAGCCAGTCAGTCATCCTGATGATCAAAATGTAATGCTGTGTAAATGTGATGGACGAGTATCTCCCTGAGCCAAGAGCAGGGCCTGGGATCCAGACTGAGGAGAACAACAGGAGGCTTCCACCAGCGATGGGGGTCTTGGCCACAAAAGAAGTTATTGCTTTGGCTCATCTGCTGACACACGCTGGAGACTGCTCACTCTCAGAAAGTTTACACCAGCCCCCTGATCGGGTGGGGAAGGCACCTGAGGAGAAAGAACTGAGCTTGGGACAGAGTTTATCAGAACTCGGCGAAGACTTGCCCTCTCTCTCCAAAGAGGATCCTCTCGATGCACAGCCAGGGGCAGCCTCCTGAGGTCCCAACATTGGGTGCTGCTGGAGGGGAGAATGCCTTCTGCCTGCTCCACTGGGAGTGTTCCTGATATCTGGGACAAGAGGAGGCACTTCCTCCAGGGCCAGTGTTTTTCCACAATGACCTTGGGCTGCTGACAAAAACAACCCCATCAGTCCCCCAGGGCCCCAATGTGTTTTAATAAGAATGATAATAAGGAATAATGATGGTGACTATCATCATCATTGTGCCTTGTATTTATGGGGTGGGAGGGGCTCTTAGCTCTGCAGACATGGCCTGGGAACGTCACATAGTCCTTCCTCCAGGAAGAAGGTGGCCAGTGTGTCTCTCCAGGTGAGGTTCAGAGGCACCCTGAAGGGCTGCTCAGGCCCATACAGCCACACCTTGGGAAGAAGGAAGTCCCACCCACGGACGCGTGCTGCCACAAACTCTCTTGGTTCCCAGTTTCTCTTGGGCTAATGCATTTGATATCCTTAAGCATCATGTTATGGACTCAGCTTCAGGAGCCTGTCTGGGTTTTAATGTAAACTTTGGTATATAACCTGGGCATAGCCTCCCTGTACCTACCTCATGGGATCATTAGGAAGATTACGTAAATTAACACATGGATTGTTCTTGGAATGATGACTGGCATGAACAAAAGCTCAATAAATGTTACCTTTTATTAACACTCTGTATTATTTGCTGGTACTATTAGGTTGGACCCCCATTGACATTTTTGACCTATAAAATGCCAACTTCATATAGGTAAGTGGTCCTTAATGAGGGCAGCGGGTGATTTTGCATCCCCCCACCCGGACATTTGGCAATATCCAGAGACATATTGTATTGTCAAGACTATGGGTGGTGGTGCTACCGGCATCTGGTAGGTAAGGCCAGGGATGCTGCTAACATCCTTTAGCGCTCAGGTCAGCCCCTATGACAAATGAGTATCCAGCCCTAAATATCAATAGTGCTAATGTTGAGTATAGGGCCACCTAATAGTTTTCTGGTGTAGACAGATTAATTTTCTTAAAACATCCCTTTGCAAAGCTGATATGGCTCCCACTGCATACAGAATGAAGGCTCACTTCCAGCAGGCTCCAGCCTCCCCTTTGTCTTCAATCTCGTCTCCTTCCTGCTGTGGCTGCACTGACTGGGGACAGTGGGTCCCTGACACTCAGGCCTGGAGTAACTCCTTTGTTCTCCCCACCAGCCAACCCCTAACTCCTGCTCTGGGAAGCTTTCCTCAAGGGCCCTTCTCCCCAAGTCTGGCTGACCATGGCTGCTGGCTCTCAACCGATGCAACTCTGGGTCCCATTCCTGCAGATTCTGGTTTGAAAGATTGGGGTGTGGCTCAGGTATACTTTAAGAAGCCTCTGCAGAGGGCTCATGCCCAGCCTGCTGTGGAAACCACTGTGCCCCAACACACATCCTTTATATCTAGGCTGCTCCTGGTTCTGTTGCCACTTATGTGTACACTAACCCTCGTGGACATTTCCACTTATTTTATTAGCTGCACGTAAAGATGCTACAGGGCAGAGACTTCATCTTAGAGACTCTAGCTACTCTAAGGATCCAACTCAGTGCCTTGCCCCCCAGAAATTCTAAGTAGTAGATTAAACTTGAATCCAGGGATTTTCAGACTTTGCTGAACCTAGTACTTATCTGAGATGCATGTTAAAATTCAGATCTCCAGGCCCCCAGGGGTTCTGCCTCAGTGGCTCTGGACTGGAGCCCTGGAACCTAAATTTTTCACCAGCTGGGCTTTGATCTTCCAATATGTTAGGCTCCAGGAGTCTCTGGGGCTTCTGGCATGCCTCGTGGAGGTAAACGTTCTTTTAATTGGGTACTGGGCTGCCCCTGCCCTAGAACCCCAGGACAGCAGGACACCAGGGGATACTTACACACATGCTGGCTTGTCCTCCTGCACCAAAAACCTGCAGGTTCCATGGAAGCAGAGCTGACTGTGGGAATCCGGGCAGTCATTAAAATAAGACATCACAGCTGCAGCCATGGGCGGATTTGCTGAGGAAAGAAAATACATTTGGCTCAGGCCCACAGTCCAGGAAGATATACCAGCTGGCCCCCATTGGTCTGGAGGAGCAGAGCCCTGAGGGCTGGGATTTCTGGTCCCTCCATAGCTCTCACTTCTACCAGCCAGCCCAGGACTAGCTACTCCTACATCCCGTGCTTTCCAGCAGGGCTTTATTTATTTATTTATCTTTGTATAAAACAAAACAACCTTTCCACAAGACTCTGTGTGAGTCAGAGACGCCAGAGCCGTTTTACTATTTAGAGCCTACTATCCCAAAGTGACCTATTTTTGCTTTTTTGCAAAGTGATGGTGATTTTTTTTAAAAGATAGCCTTCATAAAAATCTGTTTGAAATGTAAGAAACCACAAGAGTACTATATAACCATTACACTGATGCTTTTGCATTAGCAATGTAAAGTGATGTTCATGATACACTACTGAAAATTAGGTGCATTTCCGAGATGGTCTGTATGGTATGATTCTGCTGAAACAAACATGGAGAGGTCTGGGAGGCTCTACGAGAAGAGGGTAGCTGGGCTTCTCTGGGGTGGTGGGCATCGCATGGTTAGCCCATGAAGGTGACCTAAGCCCAGAAGTCCAACTGCAGGCAGCACAGGCAGTAACGGGAAAGCATGGGGGAGAGGGAAAGAGAACAGAGTTGGGGGACAGAGACCAGTCCTACTCACAATCCTGACACCCATAACTCTCAAGAGCCAGGGGCATTGCCAAATCTCTCAGGGGTTTCCTTTCTTGGCTTTCAGACAGGAATGAAAATAGCCAGCCAGGAGCATTGTAAGGAAAAATACACAAAGAGACCTGTGGACCAGCCCAAAGGGCATTGCTTTAGATTTATTTTATTAAATTCCAATAGCCTTGTTTTGTCCAAGTAATACCTGAGACATATGGTAGCTATTTCAAGATGGCATGGTAGACGTAATTTTTATTGCTTCTTTCAAAAGGTCCTCTTATGCTTGTGTTTTAGGTATTTGAGCAGTGGGTCTTTCTCACTAACTTTCTGCGAAAAGATGTTCTTGGAGTTTTTGCTCTTTGAGAAAAGGCAGCCCATCTCAGACTGTGGGGTTCTAGACCACCACTGAACATTAAACTCACACTTCTGCCTTCCTACTCATGAATTGCTTCTAGAAGTGTCATAATTCTGGGAGTCTCATAACCCAGTGGAAAAAGCAGAGGCTAAAACTACAGTAGAATCCTTGATGCAGAAGGTGAGATGGCACTTAGTGGTTGTTATGCACATGGGCTTTGGGAGGCAGAGACACGGTTTTGAATCCTGCCTCTGCCACCTGGAAGAAGTACTTGAACTTTTCTAGCCTGCTTGGGCTTCTACAGGATCAGGAACCCAGCTGCCTTGCTCTGAGGCTGAATGAGGCAAAGCTTGATCCGTACCATACTCAATAAACTGCCTGCTACTTACCACTCCGCTGTCAGTGTTGCTGTTACCATCACTGACAATCCATGATGCTGATGAAGTGCCACATATGATAAGACCACTATAGGACATAATCTTCCCCTCCCTCCATAAATTCAGTACAGTGTGACTGAAAGTCCAAGTGTCCCCATTAGCCTTTAATGACAGCTACTTTCACATGTGAGGACAAACAGGAGGCCCAGAGCCAGGTGGAAATGTCCACTCAGGCCTCCTGCCAGCCTTGCTCCTCCTGGCTGCAGCATGTCCCTGGCCAGCAGCAGCTTCAGGACATGGGGTCCAACTGCCTCGGCTGCCCAACTGCTTTGGTGGCGAGTCCCAGGCCTGGGTGGTTGATGAACAGGCTGGCCACTTGCTGACAGTAGACACTGGAAGGGTCCGCTGTAATTCACAAAACTGGCTCCTCTGTTCACTAAACTTGTCAGGGAGTGAACATGGCAAGATGAAGGGGCTAGAGACTAGCCTTTGTGGATCTGATTTGATTTAGACTTTGAAAAAGGCTTTTAATAAGCTCTACAAAAGGCTGTTTAGACAACCACCTCCAAATGGCTAGAGGGAGTCCCTTGCCAGGGGTTAGAGCTAGGCTCTTCAATGTGTGGTCTGTGGACCAGCGGCTTCACATTCCCAATGAAGCGTGTTAGGAAGCCAAGTTTATGGCTCCACACCAGACCCACCAAATTAGGATCTTTGGGGTGGGGCCCAGGAATCTGGGTGCTGTGCTCTCCAGATGCTTTTATGAGATAGATTTCACATACAGTACTGTTTGCCCTCTGGGAAATTTGTTAATGTTTGAGACATGGGCTTGTGTTGCGCAGGAAACAACAATAAAGAAAAGGTAGAGACAAAGGCCTGTCAGAGACGGAATACGACAGGGGCCCCAAAAGGGATCCTTTTTGGAGCAGGTCATCTTCCAGAAATTCAAACTCCTGTGTGATATTAAAGCCAGAAATCTGCTGAAGGAAGTTTTTTTGTGGTAAAGTGTCAGGTCAGTAGAAATACTGAGAAAAACTCTGGAGCTATCTTTCAGGAACAATACTCTCCCAAACTGGTGAGGGGTAGGCTCAGTGTCACTGTCTTGTGTATTTATATTTTATCTCTTCTCACAGATGACTTAGCAGGCTTTATAAAAACGGGGCTATAAAAAGAAGACACAAATGGAAAATATTTTGTGTATGTGTGTGTGAAAGAGAGAAGAAGAGAGATGGGGGGAGGGAGGGAGAGGAGACACACACAGGAAGTGAAAACGGACGGAGCGAGAGAGACACAGACATACGAAGGGGGACAGAGAGACAGGGAGACAAGCAGAGGAGGTGACAGGGAGAGAGGAAGAAATGGAGACAGAATCAGCTAATGAGACAGGAATAGAGATATCTGGGCAGGGGAAAATAATGTTAAGGGTTGAAAAGAACAAAGAAGTCAGTTATTAGTTTATATTCAAAGACAAGCATCAGAAAGTCACACACATGTACGGAAGCCCAGAGGTGGACCCAGCTCTGTGTCTTCCAGCAGGCTGCGCAAGGATGCACACCGTTTATTAGATAGCAATGCATCCATTTTGCACATGCAGGACACTCTCAGCTTTGCCCAAGTCAGAGGGCAGCTTCTCTTCTGCGGCCGCTTCTGAAGAGGACTTCATGTGCTATGGTGGATGACACCCTTCACATTCCCCCAAAGACAATGCAGAAGCATCCACCAAGGAAACTGTCTCCACCTTTCACACAGCTTATTAAGAAGCCAAGGAGCCCAGCTGATGAGGAAACTCAATGCCATAGGCACGGTGATGGCAGCTAAGGATGCCGATTTTGCTCTCTGCATTGAGACCAGGTGAGGATGGGAGCTCTTGGTCCTCTATAAGCTCATCTTTCTGATACAACCAAAGGTGCCAAGGAGAGACCAAGGGAGCTTGATGCTACATGATTATCAAGATAACTAAAAGACTTTATTTTTAATATCTTTTTTCCTGATGACAAAAGTGACACATCGTGAAGAAAACTTTTGTAAATGACAGTGTAGAATAAAAAACAGAATAAAATTCATCTTGAATCTATTCTTAGAACTATGTAAGTACACACTGTACATACTTTTGTAAACTTAACTGTTTCTGTTTTGCTACATGTGTTTTCCTCCCCTGATATACCCACAAACATCTTAAAAGTGAGCATTTAGTTCAACACTCTGCCAAGGGTGCAGTCCTGGCCTTAATGCTGAGAAGTTCCATGTGTGTAATGTGAGGGGTGGGTTCTCTTTCCAACAGCACATTCTGCAGCTTTGGGGGATGTGATTTGCACGTGAGAAGTGGACAGGGCAGGGCACCAACAACAGTTCTGAGGGTGAGCCACATTCTGGTCCTCTGCTCTGACTGTGCCACAGGGTGGCACTGGCGCAGGGTGAGCAGACCACAGACGAGGAGTGGCAGGGGGCTTGCCCCCCCTCAGTGCACCTGGGTAGCTTCATGGACGAATGCTCTGTGCAAAGTACAAAGCATATCGCCACACTTCCACTGGGAACGATTGTTCTTATTTTGTGGATTTTAAAGGCGGTTGTCTCAGATAGCACCTGAATCAGCAAAGGAAACGTACATCGCACCATGGTCAGGTCAGGCCAACAAAACCATCCCTATCAATGTTCCCAGAGCTTCACCAAGTCCAAGAGGAAAGGGACTCTGCAGAAGGTTGGGGAGGGGAGGGAGAAGAGGGGCTACCACTCTCTGAGTGCCAGGTGCTATTCTTAGAGCATCTCACAAATCCAGACAGGGTAGGTGGTCAGAACAGGTAGAAGATTTGCTCAGTAACAGGTAAAAATGACCTTCACGATGAAATCCCCAAATTCCCAGCATCTTCCCAGAGAATAAGTCTCTCAGCCTCTCTGCCTCTTTTTTCCTCCCTACATATTTCCTCTACCTTCCTCCATTCTTTCCTTTTCTTGCTCTTGATTTTCCTTTCTCTTCTTTCTGAAAACTCAAGGAATTTCAAGTGAAGCAAGGAAAGGCCTAGACACTTAAAAGGGGAAAAACACTCATTAAAAAAAGGAAGGCAGTGAAGTTCAACAGGAAACTCCAAGGGAGCCCCAGACTGAGGGCAGAGGACTGGGCGCTTGACCCTGTACTCATCTCCTCCAGGCACAAAGTCTGATTAGCACTCAGGGCTCATTGGAAAATTGAATGTTTCACTTTTCAGAACAGACCTCATACTGACCCCATTGGCAACTGGAGGTTCAGAGCTGCTCAGTTCCTGTTGCTCTGAAATTTATGAGGGGCCTCTCCAACGTGTTAACTTAGCACACATCTTATAGATACCACTGTTGTCCAGGGAAGCTGCGAAGCTTTACCTGGAGACCACAGACCCCACTAACAGGGCCTGGAGCCTAGCTTCACTCATGGGAAGAGGGTCTGGAATAGCAATCTAGAGGCACAGAAACCATAGATTCAACTCCCAGGAGGGGGCTCCCCAGTTCAGAAGGGCTAGAGAGGCAGTCATCCAGACAGCTCCTTCCGATGGCCTTGCTTTCTGGAGAATGGCATCTGCACCACCAAGTACAATCACCCCCT